CTCATTTCCTTCCTTGCTCGTCACATCTTTTCATTTTCTTTTTTTTTTTTTGTGCCTATTCCGACAAATGTGTATTGCAAAATCCCATAAAATTGTTACGGTTCCTATCTCCGTAACTGCGTCTGGGTGATGTTAATACCATTTACTTGTAGTTTCCTTCCCGTAAAAGTGGCTTATTTTCCAGTGCAGATATTGGCTAACAGGCACTCATTTTCTTCTGTGCTCGGCACATCCTTTCATTTTCTTTTCTTTTTTTGTGCCTCTTCCGACAGATGTGTATTGTAAATTCCCATAAAATTGTTACGGTCCTATTTCCGTAACTGCGCTCTGGGTGATGTAATACCATTTCTTGCAGTTTCCTCCCAGTAAAAGTGGCATATTTTCCAGTACAGATATAACACCATTTTCTTCTTGCATCCTTTCATTTTCTTTTTTTTTTTTTGCCTCTTCCGACAGATGTGTATTGTAAATTCATAAAATTGTTACGGGTCTAAAACTGTGTCAGTGTGATGTTAATACCATTTTCTTGCAGTTTCCTCCCAGTAAAAGTGGCATATTTTCCAGTACAGATATTGGCTAACAGGCACGCATTTTCTTCCTTGCTCGTCACATCTTTTCATTTTCTTTTTTTTTTTTTTTTGCCTCTTCAAACAGATGTGTGGCAAAAATCCCATAAAATACGGGTTTTCCCAGTGTCAGATATTGGCTAACCAGGTTCCACGCATATTTTCTTCATATGTTCGTAACAGGCACTCTTTTCCTTTTTCCTTTCATTTTCTTTTTTTTTTTTTCCTCTTCCAGCAGATGTGTATTGTAAATTCCCATAAAATTGTTACGGGTCCTATTTCCGTAACTGCGTCTGGGTGATGATAATACATTTTTTTTTTTTTTTTTCTTGCAGTTTCTTTCCTATTCCCAGTAAAAGTGGCATATTTTCCAGTACAGATAAATTGGCTAACAGGCACGCATTTTCTTCCTTGCTCGTCACATCTTTTCATTTCTTTTTTTTTGCCTCTTCCTGAAATTCCATAAAATTGCAGATGAAGTGATGTAAAGTTTCCTCCCAGTAAAAGTGGCATAAAATTGTTACGGTCATCTTTTCATTTTCTTTTTTTTTTTGCCTTTTCGACAGATGTGTGTGTAAATTCTCATAAAAAATTGTTACGGGTCCTATTTTCCGTAACTGTGTCTGATGTGATGTCATTATCATTTAGTTTTCCTTCCAGTAAAAGTGGCATATTTTCCAGTGCAGATATTGGCTAACAGACACCCATTTTCTTCTTGCACGGCATATCCTTTCATTATCTTTTCGTTTTTTGTGCCTCTTACGACAGATGTGTATTGTAAACTCCCATAAAATTGTTACGGTCCTATTTCCGTAACTGCGCTCTGGGTGATGATAATACCATTTCCTTGCAGTTTCCTCCCAGTAAAAGTGGCATATTTTCCAGTACAGATATTGGCTAACAGGCACTCATTTTCTTCCTTGCCCGGCACATCCTTTCATTTTCTTTTCTTTATATACTGCCTCTTCCGACAGATGTGTATTGTAAAATCTCATAAAATTTTTACGGGTCCTATCTCCGAAACTACGTCTGGGTGATGTTAATGCCTTTTACTTGCAGTTTGCTTCCCGTAATAGTTGTTTATTTTCCTGTGGCCCATAGTGTCATGCTGAGTTTTATATTCTGTTAATTTTAATACCGTGTTATTATTATCATTATTGCTATTATTATTGTTATCATTATTATTATTATTATTTCTTTTGATTTCTGGTGTATACTCATTTCTTTCCGGGTCCCGACCAGTCACCTAAGTTCAGAAATGTCATCTTGATATTTCTCACTGTGAAGTTCTGAAAAAATCGCACATATTTTACATATTTTAAGCCTTTCTTAAGGTGTGAGGTCTACTTTTGAATTCAATTTTTTGTATTCCTTTAACTACCAGGAATGTTTCTCTCGGAATCTTTTCCAATCGATCCGAGGGCTCCAACTACAACTGGAATTGTTAATGTCTTCTTGCGCCACATTTTTGACATTTCGATTTCAATGTCCTTGTGTGTTCATAGAATTTTTAAGATCTTCGAAGATACATTGCAGACTACAGGGGCTGCCATATCAATAAGGAGGCACCTTTTGTCTTTGTAGTCTCTAATCCCGATGCCAGGGCAATTAGCTTTGATTGTTCTATCTGAGTGCATTGTGAAGTCCCATAAAATTGTTACAGGTCCTCTCTCCATAAACAGCTGTTGGGTGGTGTTCATACCAATTTCTTGAATTTTCTTTCCGTAAGTGTTGCAGATTTTCCAGTGCTGACACCAGATGATACAAGATGATAAATTGTTTCTGGATGTTTATCACAGAATCTGCATTTCGGTATAACACAATTTTCTAGTATGTCTGCTTGGTAATTTCTAATTAGCAAGCATTGGTTTTGTGCAGCAAGAATAAAACCTTCGTTTTCAGCTTTTAACCTTGCACTACGTAGCCATTGATGGTCATGCGGTTTGTCTACATCAGCTTGTTTGGTATGAGCAGAGTATTGGCCATGATCGGTTTATCTTGCCATCTTTCCTGTATCTGGTCGGTTACATTAGCCTTTGTTATTATTATTATTATTATTATTATTATTCGTGATATCATCTTGCCAGAGAGTAATTTTAAGTACCTAATTACCAAGTCCCCTCTGCGACTTGTAAGCAAAAAAGGTACTGTACACATTTGTGTCGTGTGGATAATAAATACAGGAGATCAGGTCGATTTTGGAGCAGTGGCATCACACTCAATTTAAAAATTGAGGTTTCACATGATAAACAACGACACAAACTATTTTCCGATATCGTTACCGAATTTTGAGGAAATGCGTTTAAAGATTAAATTTAGATTCAAAATCGTATCGTTGGAATTTCATTCCGATGATCTGTGAAAGCCTTGTAGCACAGCCTTATGAAATTTATAATTTACTGAAGCTTCATACAAGATGCATGACACAAGCACATTATTACTAAATCATTGTGTCATCAAATAAGACCTTCATTCACTTCAAATGGAAATTATACTGAACAATTTAGCCATATTATGATGTCATATATTTATACAGTGCAGTAGTTTTAGTGTGATTTTCAATAAACAATGCAAATTTAAAACATTTTGTCTTATAATTTGTGTCCACCAGTATTATGGTGTTATATAGACTTTTATCTATTATTTGTTTTTATTAAGATCTAACAAATGATTGAACAAATCTTATTCGTTGAATAGAATTGTTTTTTTGTTTTTTTGTAATCTTTGATAATTTTTTTTTTTAAAGTTTTTACTTATCGAATACAGTAAAAAAAAGGAATATTTTGCTTGTGGAGATCCATAATTGGATTTCTGGTTTTAATATATTTTCCATTCAATGTGTCTAATAGAGAGAATATCAACTTTATTTGGAGTTATTCTTGACATAGTCAAATTTTAAAGTCAGTTTGTAAGCAAAACACTGCGGAAACTAATTATTTCAGTCCATTTTTCAGACGATCTTTAAAACTAAATACTCAAAAATTGGTGAAAGCTATGAATCGAATTTTTAGCGTCACTACTCATCTCATATCTGTAATAGACGTGACAGTGACTTACTAGGAGCAAAACGAATTCGCTGCCTCGCGTGTCGAACCATTCTCTGAGAGTCGGTCGCGCGTCCGTACGCCTACTGCCATTTTTATGCCGCGGGCTTATTTGCATAAGAGAACAACGCTACCTGTTAAAAACCAGGCGCGTGGACGTGTGGGACCACTGCTCTTCTAGGTATTCACTAGTACTTACAGTGTTGTTCTGTGGCGTACGCCAGTAGACGTTTTGTGCGTGGAACTACCAGTTTCAAAGTAAGTCGGACATTGTCTTTTCTTTTGTATTTGTTGGACTGTTTGAACTGTTTGTTTTTGTGGGGAATACACTCCCGCTATGGCGGAAGTGAGCCAGGAAAAAGAGCCTTTGGCCAGTACATCCACTGCACCATTGCTTGGGTGCCGGAAAGGCCGGAAAAAAAGGGCCAGACTATTACAGGAGTCGTTGCGAAGAGTTGAAGGAGTTCATTGCGAAAGATGAACTTGTACCAATGCCTTCGGTCATGGTGACTGTGGCAACAAGGACAATCTCCCTATTGACGGTCGATATTAAGACCAGGAAATTCATACCGGTCAATAGGGAGCAGATGGAAGAAGCCCTAAAGGCTTTGAACATCGGGGCCAAGGTCTTGGCACGCAGATCAAACGCTTGCTGGGACATTTTGTTGGCAACGGAGGAAGCTGCAAAGGCGCTGGCCGGATGCACCCTCACTGCGAAAACGATGAGACTGCAAACGGAGTACATGGGAACTCGAAAAACAAGGATTATCTTACACGATGTGCCCATGTACATTACCGAAGACCAGGTGGAGGCCTTCTTTTCAGACTACGGCCCTGTGGAGTGGGTATCGTCCATCAGGAGTAAGGCGAGGATTGCCACCGGTGATATGGAGATCATGGTGACATTGAACCGCCAAAGCTTTAAGGATGTACCCAACGCAATTCTGTGTGGTAACCGAAGCATTTTTGTGGTGGTTGAGGGTCGCCGGCCCTTCTGTTGGGTTTGTGGTGCGGCTGGACACCTGGCCAAGACGTGTCCAACCAAGAAGCCAGCACCGTCGACGAAGCAGGCACCGGTACCAACATCAGTGGTGCCCAGAGAAGAATCAACGAAGAAAGCTTCCGGTAGCGAATGGACGGAAGTGGTGAGGAGGAGAGCAAAAAGTGGCAACCTCACCTCTCCACCTCTCCAGCAGCAGCAGCAGCTCCCCGGAGAAGGCTGCAGTCAGCCAGCAACAGGAGCAGAACGCTGATACAAAGAAGCAGCAGGAGCAGGCGGCTACGAAACAACTGCAGGACGTCCCGGATGTGGAGGGAGAAAAACAACAGCAGGAACGGGTGGCCGTCAAACAACATCAGCAGAAGTCGGATGGCCCCAGTAAAGGGGCTGCTAAACAAAAGCAGCTGAAGCAGCAGCAGCAGGTGCAGCAGCAGGTGCAGCAGCGGCGGGAGCAGCGGCAAAAGTTGCGGGATCAGCAGCGAGAACAGCAGCACGAGCAGCAGCGGCAACCGGCGCAGCAGGAACTGGAGCATCGAGAACAGCAGCAGCTGGCTGAGAAAGAGGTTCAACCGGAACAAGTGAACCCAGGTACGGAGGTGGAGGAGGGGCCTCCACCTAGATCTTCGTCATTGAAGAGAGGAAGGGGTGAGGACGAAGAGGAGGAAGAGGACTTTATAAATAATACAAAGAAGGAAAGGAGAGCAAGGCGGAGAAGGTATTTTCCGCCTCACCAGACAGAACGGCAAAAGATCGTCAACAAGGTAAGACGAGAAGCCAAGACTCTTCCCCTACTAGGGTTCCGTCTTCCCCCTCTCCCTCCCCCAACCAATCCAAAGACAAAAAGAAGAGCCATTGGTCCAGAGGGGAGAAAATTTGTGTGGTGGACCGTGAGCGTCTCGAGAGGGACCTTTCCGCCCAGAGGAAGGCGCTCTTGAGGCCTCTTTTCAAGTGAACCTCTGTTGATGGAACTTTCCTGGCGCCCCCGGTGTTATTACATTGATCAGGAATACTGGGGGTAAACTTAAAGTCTGGGACTATCTGGCGGAAGCAAAAAATGCGTTTCCGAAACTCCGGATGCTTCAGACGGAAACACCGGATCTTAAAAAATTGGCGCAGTATTGTGCAGGGAGGTTCCAGTTCTTCTCCATCCCTCACTATATAGGGTGGTAAAATTAACTTTCCCCACAGACATTGGCGGTATTGTCACAGAAGGACGAATTACGTCCGATGTAGGTACCGGGAGTCTGGGACAATCCGTCGGGGTCTTGACACCCGTAGATTTCCGGCCAGTCTGTGTTGAAGGGAACTAGGCTTAAATCATGTCTATTAAGCTAGCCAGTTTGAATGTGAGGGGCCTGAGAGATCGGGGTAAGGCGGCCCGCCTGCTCTGTGATTTCAGGTCCTTCGGAGTGGATGTGGCTGCGATCCAGGAGATACACTTTGTTTGCGAGACTGATGCTCGTGTGCTGTCTAGCGACTTTGTCGTCTATTCAGCATATGGGGACTAGCAGGCCAGAGGTGTTTCCTTGTTGGTTAAACGTTCCTGGGGGCGAGGGTAGACCTTGTTCATGTGGGAGCGGGGGGCGGTTGATCGTGGCTGATATTGCCGTGAGCGGTGGTGCGTTTCGGGTCGTTGCGGTGTATTGAGCGTCGACTTTTTCCGTCAGTTGGGGCCGTTCCTGGTTGATTCTTCTTAGTCTTATTGGGGACTGGAATGCCGTCCTGGACCCCAAGATAGATAGGGGCGGGGAGCTGGCAGGGAAGGCATCGGCCGATCGTAGCTTGGTTGATCTGATCGGCGAGTTTGGGCTCGTCGAGGGGGTTGATCATCCGATGGGGAGATGTGGACGTGGGCTCATAGTTGGTTGTCTCTCCAGGTAGCCTGCTACCTGGATAGAATGTTAGTGAGAAGAGTCGATCTAGATTTACTAGATTGTCCCACGTTCCACCGGCTAGACTATTCAGATCACAGACTCTGTGCCTGGATGGTGTTAGGTGCTAGGCCTAGAATGGCTGGACACTGGAAGTTCAATCTGTCCTTACTGGACAGGAAGGACTTTCAGCAACAGCTAACTAGAGTAGTGCAGCGAGAATTAGTGGGGGCGGTTATTGGGAATAAGTGGTGGGAGAATCTTAAGGATAGGATTAGGATCTTCTCCACTGAATTTAGCCAACGACTCACCCTACATAAGGCTGAAAAGGTGAAGACTTTACAGGATAGTCTTTCCCGGGCGAGGGCTGGGGGGAATTCCCTAGAGATAGCCATAGCTAGGTAGGCCCTGAAGCGTGAGGCTAGCAAGCGCTATCAGGGTCAAGTAGTTAGACATAGGTTAAACAAGATGTCTAACGAGGCCGTGAACATGGGTGCAGAATTGCACAAGGAAGAGATCCGTCGAGGTTCCGATCGATACATTCGTGAGGTCATTACCCCGGAGGACGTGCTCTGAGGTCGACCAAGGATATGTGCGAGGCGTTTCGGCGGCATTTCGAGAGCCGTTTTACCATGGAGCCTGGTCTCAGTGGAGGATGAGTTTCGCAGCTATTTGGCTGACTTTCCTCGGCTCTCGCCGACTGAAACAGCTAGAGGGTGAGATCACGGAGGGCGAAGTCTACTTGGCATTGAAGGAGGGCCGGCAGAGGCAAGTCGCCGGGACTTGATGGTCTGCCCTACGAAATGTACTTGAGGCTGTCGCACATCTTTGTCCCTATTTTGACAGTGGTGTCCAACAACTGGTTCCGGCAGGGGTCCATCTCAACCGGATTTCCAGGGGGGTGATCACGCTGTTGAAAAAGGGCAAGGATGTTGGGCGAGATTTAGATGATTACAGGCCCATAACTCTGCTAAACACAGAGTTAAAGATTTTGGCCAAGATCTTGCAGGAGCGTTTGCAGTCAATTGTTGCGAGCTTGTTGGGACCTGAGCAGACTTGTGCTCTGAGGGGACGAACAATTCAAAGCAACCTGCATCTGATCCGCACGATCATAGAGGGTGTAAAAGACGACAAGCAGGCCGCGCTGATCAATTTGGATCAGTCCAAGGCATTTGACAGGGTCGACCACGAGTACCTGGCTGCTGTCCTGCAGGCCGCCGGATTCGAACCCGACTTCTGCAGGTGGATTGGCCTCCTGTATCGCTCCCCCAGTGCTGTGGTACAGGTGAACGGAAGGCTGTCGAGCGCTTTTGCGCCGACTCAGTCGGTACGACAGGGGTGCCCGCTGTCGACCTTACTTTACGCTTTGGCGCTAGAACCCTTCCTTCGCCGGCTGAGGGATGAAGCGTGCAGTCCGGTCCTACGCGGAATTGCCGTTTTCCCTGGTAGAGCTCGAGCCAGGGATTCTGCGTACGCCGATGACGTATCCATCTTTGTGTCGTGCCGCAGCGACATTGAGGTGGTGCAGAAGGCGCGTGAACGGTACGAGAAGTTGATAGGAGCCAAGATTAACCGCAACAATCTTCCGGCTTGCGGTTAGAGGCTTTGAAGGGGTCGCGCCAGGGGGCCCTTCGGCTGGACGGATGGACCTGTCCGCATCCTTGGGGTATGGTTCGGTCCCGGACTCCAGCTGGAGAAGAATTGGTCAGAAGTACAGGCAAAGGTCGGAGCGTCGATCCGGACTTGGCGTCGAAGGAGGTTGTCCTTAAAGGGTAGGGCCGAGTGCCACTTACGTCTTGCCCCTTATCCTTTACCGCTTGGCTGTACTTCCTCTTTGCAGGAAACGTATGGAGGCGATCGAGCGCTTGTTGGCCGACCTCTTGTGGGACGGTCGCAAGCATTGGGTCCGCAAAGAAGCCTGTTGTCAGCGTCCGTATCACGGGGTGGGGGTGGTGGGGCTGTGATGGCCACACCTGGAGAGTCATCGGCATGCCTCGAGGTTGGCCTTCCTACGCCGCGTTTTGACGGAGGACTCGATATTGGCGCTGAGTGTTAGGGATGCTTTCCCTCGCCTTACCATCACTCCCCGCATTTCTTGGGGGAAACGCCGTGGCGGTCGTGGCAGGTTGTCGAAGTTCCTCAGCGAGTGTCGGTCGGCCTCGAAGGTCATTCCTCGGTCCAGTGACCTTTTTCGGCGTCGGAGACTATTGTAGCATGAGTTAGTGGAGGGGGTCGCGAATGATCCTCTGGGTGACCGGCTCGGCTTGTCGGCATCAGAGTTGCGCTCTTTCTGGTCTTGGGCGCCAGCAGCGGATTATCTCACCAACCCTGAGTTTTCGCTTAGCTGGCGATTGATTCGGAATGTGCTACCTCTCAATGACATTCTCTTCAAGATGGGCGAGGCAGATTTGCCAGATTGTTACCGGTGTGACCTTGGTTTAGAGGAAACGGCTTCGCACGCCTTCTACCATTGTCCTCGGGTGCGCCCTTTCTGGGATTATGTCGGCGAGTTGACGGCTCGTATCGCTCCCGAGCAGCTCGTGTCCATTGATCTCGCGTACGTGTGTGACAATGAGTCGCCCCCGTACTCCGGGTTAAAACGGATGGTGTTTTTTATGTTGCTAGCCGTGGCTAGAATTGTCGTGTGGATGTCGCGAAAGGATGGAATCTTCCGAAATTATCGTTTTTCGTATCAGGATCTGATTTTGTTCTTTAAGAATCAGCTTAGGGTGAAAATCAGATCGGATCGAAAGCGTTTGATTTTGACAGATTTCAGCGAAAGGTGGATAAATGTGGCGAGCCTGGTTCGTGTGGACGGGCTAGCCTTGATTTTTTTAAAGTCCCCTTAGTGCAACGGGGCGGTTTCCTATGGACCCCCATCCTGGTTAAGGTAGTCCCTATTTTGTGTTCCTGGCCTGTGCCCGGCTTTTCTTTTGTTATGGCATACGTCGAGATTCCCAATCTCCCCAGTTTGTTTTTGTCCCCACTTTTTATCTCGGCAGAGTCAGCTTTTGATTTCCCCATTCCGTCATTTATTTTTTACCCCTCCCCATTCCGTTAGTGAGTGTGCTTCTTGATTTTGTCTATTGACAGAATACAGCGGCCACTCTCATGATTTTTGAGGGGTAGACGGGTCCTACTAACATTATTTTGGTTTTGCTTTGTTTTCGGTTGATATTTTGATTTTATTATTGGGTTTCATAGCCCCTTCCCCATCATTTTGTGTTTCATTGAATTTTTATGGATATATATATATATATGAACATTAAAATTTTTAATCCATGGGGTGTTTGGTAGGTCCCCTGTGTATATTGAGGTATTGTGGTGTGTGCTGAAGTGATAGAGGATGGATGAGTTTTTGTGGTGAATATGTAATTGTAATGAATGAATGGGTCGCGATTGTGGTTAACTAGGAATAGGATAGCTAGTGAAAGACCAACCTTTCCCACGCCCCCTTCGGCCTTGTGCCACAATTTTGTATTATTTACAAAATAAATAAACACTGCTCTTCTAGGCTTCGGTGAGACTAGACGTAGTGCTGACAGAAAGCGACAGCAATTTCTGGACATCTGACAAGCTATTTCGGCGAATATGGACGGCTGGTTTGATTTTAAAATTATTCCCGAGTTTGACGGGACTGGATCTGTGGTTGAATGGCTCGAGAAGTTGGAATTAGAGAACGAACTATCGGGAGTGAAGCGGCTTGATCGTGTCATCCCTCTTTGCTTAACCAGGGGATAAGAAATCGGACGTGGCTCGAATCAAGGGAGCATTGATGACAGCATTTGCCCCTGATAAATTCACGGCATACGAACAATTCGAGGCACGTGTATTGCGTCCGGGTGAGACCGTAGA